AGACATCATTTTCACACATGGATTGGCCACCACAGAGTCCAGACCGTAACCCCATTGAGAATCTCATCCCAACATCCCAAAGATGTGCTGGAGAAGACTTTGCGCAGCGGAACGACTCTCCCATCATCAATACAAGATCTTGGCGAAAAAATTCATGCAACTCTGGACAGGAATAAATGTTGTGACATTGCATACTTTTATCGAAACAATGCCATGGCGAATGCGTGCCTTAATCAAAGTTAAAGGCGGTCCAACAACATATTAGAGTGTGTGACTTTTTTTTTGGGACGGGCAGTGTATATTAGTGGTTTCTTAATCTAAAGACATTTTTCAGAAGCTGACAAGGCACAACTCACCTTTAATTATTCCACAGGACAAGTTTACCAGCCCCCATGTTCTCCAGAAATGACTTCAGCATCTGGAGCATACTGAGGAAGTGCATTGGGATGGTGAGGTTTTTACTATCATGTAACCTTTCACTTGAACTTTTACTGTAAGACAGTGTCTTTTTCAATCAAAACACTTGGAAGCGCCATATTTTATTTGATTTCATCTTTCTTCCAGGAGCTGTCTAAGATCACCATGCCCGTTATTTTTAATGAGCCACTGAGCTTTCTGCAAAGATTAACAGAATATATGGAGCACACGTACCTCATCCATCAGGCTAATGCTTCAGATGACTCTATTGAGAGAATGAAGGTAAAAAACAACAACAATGTACTTGAAGTATCTGAACATGCCAGGAAAACCCTTACATGGCAAATAACCATGAAATATGGCCAATTAATCGGCTAACTCTCAATTTGGCCAGTTTTCACATTTTCTGACTTGAAATAATAGTTGAATTTGGTTAAATTCTTTTTTATTAAATATTTTGTAACATAAAAAATCATAAGTAATAGATATCTAATAAATTTGACCATTTTTTTTTCATTCATATACTGGTTAATTATTGTTTTATTTTAGAACATACGATATACTGGCGATAACCTACATTGCTCTTAAAATCGCCAAAACCAAGCAACAATTATTACTTACTGTAGTTAAAAATAACTACAATGTCCATTTGCCAAAGTTTCCAATTTTATGAACTTTTTCTTAGGCTGTTTAACAAATTCTATACAGATATTTCATGGATTCAATGGTTTCAAAGTCCTATCAAATCTCTTCTAATAGCTGCTGGGAATAAAGCCGGTCTAAACTGTAGATTTCTAATGTGTATTTTCTAAGTAAACGAATGTATGTGTTTTCTATCCAGTGTGTGGCCGCGTTTGCCGTATCAGCTGTGGCGTCTCAGTGGGAAAGGACGGGTAAACCCTTCAACCCCCTACTAGGAGAAACGTATGAGTTAGTCAGGTGAAAAATTCCAACCCTATCTGAATGCTAATTTGTTAGCATTAAGGTGCAGTCTCATTTATTGATGTTTGGTTAATGTTTGTGGGTGAAATCCAGTCATTTCTATAGTAATTCAGCCAATTGTGATTTTCATGTGAGGGTGAAAGATTTCCCCACACAGATTTCGCAACAGATTCAGTCATGCGTGTTGACCAACAGATGCTTGCTTTTAAAAGTGACTTCTGTGTGAATTGTGCTTCATACAGTGCTACAATATTGACAATGGACCCTTTTTGCCGGTGAAATTTTGCTAATGTGACCACACCTTTAATGTAAATTTAATGTTTGAATGTTAATTTGTTAGCATTTGTGTTAGCATTATCGTTAACATTGCAAGTGTGAGTTTTTTTGGCTTTTTTTAATGTTAATTTGTTAGCATTAGCATTGCAAATGTGAATATCAATATATCAATGTGTTGTGCTCTTGGGGATAATTACCATGTTTTTTCCTCAACCTTCAGGGATGATCTTGGTTTCCGGCTGATATCAGAACAAGTGAGCCACCATCCTCCCGTCAGCGCCTTCCATGCAGAGGGTTTGCAGAAGGACTTTGTGTTTCATGGCTCCATCTACCCCAAACTGAAGTTCTGGGGCAAAAGTGTGGAGGCCGAACCTAAGGGCATCATCACTCTAGAACTTCCCAAGTAAGCGTCTGGTCTCTGTGCGATGGCACTTTACTAATATCCACACATTGTTTTGTGAGGTTTCAGATGTTTTCGTAAATGTAGAATAAAGTTTAT